TCTACACAGAGGGCGCCGCGCAGCTTCCGTTTGCCCGCCTCGTCAACCACGGTCCCCCGCTCCTGCTCCAGCACTCGCCAACCGCGTACGAGCAACATCGCTGGAACGACCACTACACCAAGCCGCCCAAGCATGATTTTCCCCGTTTCGATGGCGATGCGCCATGCATCTGGCTTGAGCGGTGCACCTCGTACTTCGAGCTCTACCGAGTGCCACAACACAATTGGGTCACAACAGCGGGGTTGTACATGGATGGAATCGCGGCGATGTGGCTACAAGCATATCGACAGATACACCCTGCTATGTCATGGACAGCATTCAGAACCGATGTTGAAGCAGAATTTGGCCCCGAAGAGTTTGAGGCGCAGATGCATCATCTCGTTCAACTGCGTTAGACTGGCAGTGTTCAGGAGTACCGTCAGCAATTCGAAACCTCAATGTATCATCTGCTTTCCTTGGATCCAACACTGAGCACCCAATTCTTCATTTCTCAGTTTTTGTTGGGACTAAAGGATGAACTGCGGTTGGGCGTCGGGTTACAAGCCCCAACCAGCATTACCCGAGCTGCTGTGTTTGTACGCATTCAAGAGGAAGAGCTGGAAAAACAAAGAGCACCACGCAGCCGCATCGCTCCTGTGGGGCGACCACCTCCAGCAGCACCTGCAGCAGCTACACAGGCTTGCGCAGGCGCTCAACCTCGTCGAGGCGGCGACGAGTACGCTTGAGAACGGCAGCTCAAAGAATTCAGAAGAGCCAACGGCCTCTGTTTCCGCTGTGGAGACAAGTATTCACGCGAGCATCAGTGCAAGCGCACCGGTCAAATACTGATGATCGAAGTAGGGGATTTTGGAGAGATCCTATCGGACGACACAGTGCATGCTCTGCAACTCTTGGACCCGCCTGTCGCCCACGAGCTTGGATGTTGTGCAATTTCGCAACATGCAGTTTCAGTAGAAGAAGCCCCATCTACCATTCGCCTGCACACACAAGTGGGAGATCAGTACATGCTGTTGTTAGCGGATTCGGGCAGCTCACACAGTTTCATCAGCGACTCCTTTGTGCAGCGCGTGGCAGCAAAAACAGAGGCCTTACCACCAGTGTCAGTTCAAGTGGCAAATGGGCAGCGGCTACACTGCAACAAGATCGTTCGGCAACTGGGATGGCAGGTGCCTGGACACACGTTTCACACGGATTTCAAAGTACTACAACTGGGAGCATGCGATGGAGTCCTCGACATGGATTGGTTGGCCTCACACAGTCCCATGAGTTGCCATTGGCAACTGAAGACGATCACGTTCCAAACTAAGGGAAGACAGTACACCTTCAGGGCGTCAGAACCGCAGATCTCCCACCAATCACAGAATTGGATGCATATGAACTTCATCGCATGGAAGTGGCTAACGACATCTGGACTGCAGCCCTGGTTACAGTTGAGCGGGCAGATAAAGCAGTCCCGGAACCAATTCCACCAAATATTCAGAAAGTGTTGTCTGAATACAAGGATGTGTTCGCCGAACCCACCACGTTACCGCCTCGTCGACAGTATGACCATGGTATTCACCTTGAACCAGGCACTGTTCCTATCAATACAAAGCCATATTGCTACTTACCTGCTCAGAAGGACGAGATTGAGAAGCAGGTGCAGGACATGCTAAAAACTGGCGTCATTGCGCACAGCATGAGCCCCTACGCTGCACCAGTTCTGTTGGTTAAGAAAAAAGACGGTAGCTGGAGATTTTGTGTTGATTTCAGACGACTGAATACTGCAACTGTCAAAAACAAATTTCCTCTGCCGGTCGTGGATGAGCTGCTGGATGAACTGGTCGGTGCCACCTATTTCTCCAAGATCGATCTACATGCTGGATATCATCAGATCCGTATGCGCGAGGAGGATGAAGAGAAGACCGCTTTCAAAACTCACCACGGGCACTATCACTTCAGAGTGATGCCATTTGGTCTGTGCAACGCCCCTGCAACTTTTCAGTGCCTCATGAACACTGTCTTCGGGCGATACGTTCGTAAGTTTATCATCATATTTCTCGATGATATTCTTGTCTTCAGCACTGACTTGCAGGAACATGAGCAGCACCTGCGGCTCACATTGCAACTGCTCCGCGAACACCAGCTTTTCGCCAAGGAATCCAAGTGCTCGTTTGCGCAAACCGGCATCGAGTACTTGGGGCACGTGATCTCCAAGGACGGGGTCGCCACCGACACGACCAAGATGAGCGCCATGCAGGCCTGGCCCGTGCCCACGACGACCACGAGCTCCGCGGCTTCCTCGGCCTGACCGGCTACTACCGCAAATTCATCCCCCACTACGGCATCATCGCGAAGCCGCTGACCCATCTCCTGACGAAGAAAGGTTTCGCCTGGAACGACAAGGCGCAACAAGCGTTCGAGCTGCTGAAGCAAGCCATGGTGAGCACGCCCGTGCTGGCACTCCCCGACTTCGCCAAGCCGTTTTCGATCGAGACTGATGCGTGTGACACCGGCGTGGGGGCGGTGCTCACACAGAACGGCCACCCTGTCGCATACCTCAGCAAGGCATTAGGCGTCAAGAATCAGAAGTTGTCCACCTACGAGAAGGAGTTCTTGGCGGTGATGATGGCGATTGACAAGTGGCGGCCGTACTTGCAGCGCGCTCCGTTCGAGATTGTCGCCGACCACAAGAGCTTGCGTGCGCTTGCAGATCAGCAGCTGGCTAAGGACCTCTAGCGGAAAGCCATGTCCAAGCTGGTGGGGCTACAGTTGTCCTTCCGCTACAAGGCGTCGACAATGGAGCAGCGGACGCGCTGTCCCGCGTGGGCCATCTTCTCGCGCTCAACGCTCTCTCTCTGTGCCAGCCCCAATGGCTCCAAGAGGTGGCCAACTCATACGAAACTGATCCTGACGCGCAAGAGCTGTTGGCCAAGCTCGCGGTCACCACCACCGACGACCAAGGCCGCACATTGCAGAACAGCGTCACCAGGCAGCGCGGCCGGCTCTAGATTGGCGCAAACTCTGCGTTGCAGACCAAACTCATCGCCGCGCTCCATCACAGTGCAGTGGGTGGTCACTCCGGTGCCACGGCCACCTACCACCGCGTCCGCAAGCTGTTCGCCTGGCACGGCCTGAAGCGTGCCGTGAAAGATTTCGTCCGGCAGTGCACCGTGTGCCAACACGCCAAGCACGAGCACACGCACCCTGCCGGCATGCTCCAACCCCTTCCAATTCCCACGGAACCCTGGCAGGAGCTGACCATGGATTTCGTGGAAGGGCTGCCGAAGTCTGAAGGCTCTGACGCAATCATGGTCGTCGTCGATCGGCTGACCAAGTACGCGCACTTCGTGCCGCTTCGTCACCCCTTCACCGCCGTTCAGGTCGCTCGCGCCTTCTGGGAGCACATCATCAAGCTCCATGGTGTACCACATTCGATCGTCTCCGACCGCGACAATGTGGCGCGAATTGCTCGCCGCCGCTGGAACCAAACTACTCTACTCCACCGCGTACCACCCCCAGACGGACGGCCAAACCGAGTGCGTCAAACAGTGCTTGGAGATGTACCTGCGGTGTGCAGTCCACGACACGCCGCGGCAATGGCGCAAGTGGCTACCAGCGGCGGAGTTCTGGTACAATTCGGCACATCACGCCTCCCTGAATTGCTCTCCCTTCAAGGCGCTGTACGGCAGAGAGCCCAACCTGGGGGGTTTACCACACCTGAGCGTCGCGCTCCCCAGCGACGCGGCATCCGACGACCTGGACTGGACTGCACACACGGACCTGCTGCGCGCACAGCTGGCGCGTGCCCAAGCTCGCTTTAAGAAATAAGCGGATCGACACCGAGCAGAACAAGCCTTCGACATTGGCGAACAAGTCCTTCTCAAGCTGCAGCCATATGCACAGTCCTCTGTCGCCAATCGCCCCTGCAAGAAGCTCGCCTACAAGTTCTTCGGTCCCTTCTTGGTGACAGAACACATTGGCACGCTGGCGTATCGACCGCAACTTCCCCCAAACAGCAGCATCCACCCGGTATTCCACGTCTCTCAATTGAAGCCATTTACTCCTGACTATACTCCGGTGTTCTCTGAACTGCCACGAGTACCGGACCTCGCCGGAGAGCAAACCGAACCAGTGACAATTCTACAATGGCGCATGATGAAGAAAGGGGATGCCCCGGTGGTGCAACTGCAAGTTCAATGGGCAAACATGCCACCATCGGCTACAACCTGGGAAGACTACGACGTCCTTCGTCATCGGTACCCATCCGCTTGCATCTGGGAGGAGTCTGCATCGCAAGAGGGAGGCAATGTCACGCCTGCAAATGCTGCTAATGCACCTGCAGCGGACTAACAAGTGCAGTTCAGTTATAACCTGCAACCCACTGTTGGGCTTGGGTCGAGTGCGTGTGTGGGTTTGTGATTAGGCTGCGGCCTTGTAAGGGTGGCCCAGTGGGGCAGCTACATATGTACGGCTCACAAGACGAATGAGGCAGCGAGTGTTGATCGAGTCCTCCTTTCCCCCTTCTCCAAGCCTCTCACCTACTCTGCTCTTTCCTCCCTCATCATCAATTCTAGATCGGGATCCGCCTGGGCATTACAGTTGGTACTCATCACACGATTCAAATCTTCGGCAAAAAAAACAAAAAAAACGATTCAAATTGATATACGGTTTCTAAGAAAACGGGGCGCTTGGTGGGACGAAGTCAAGGCAAAAAGGTGAACTGCACGCTCAAGCGACCACAACAACCTCCTCCATTTGGTCTTTGCACATCACACAAGATTAGAAGAGGCTACACAGCGTAAGCCATGAGGTCTTTATCTGAACAACGAAACACAGCGGAGCACATAAGCAGAGTTCGTGTTATATCTCCCTCTTGTTCGTGTTCGTGCCCTATCGAGTGCTTGAATTTCTTATACAGACAAGTCTTCACTAAGGAATTTCCCGAGAGCATAACCTTTATTCACGATGGCGCTAGCGTCCACGGTCCACTATTCCTATATGTATCTCAGCAACGGAGCTCACATCCTGCTCTTCTTCACAGGGCCAAGCTCCTTGGCCTTGGCCCTCAGCTCGTGCTTCTTGATCTTCCCCGTCGCCGTCTTGGGCAACGGCCCGAAGACGACCGACTTCGGGACCCAGTAGCCCGGCATCCTTTCCCGGCAGAACCTCATGATGTCGTTCGCCAGCGCCACCTCGTCGGAGCCACCGGCCCCTTCCTTGAGGGTAACGAAGGCACAGGGCGACTCCCCCCAGCGCTCGTCGGCCCTGGCGACCACCGAGGCCTCCAGGACCGCCGGGTGCATGTACACCACCTTCTCCACCTCCAGGGTGCTGATGTTCTCCCCGCCGGAGATGATGATGTCCTTCATCCGGTCCTTGACTTCGATGTACCCGTCGGGGTGCTTCACGCCGAGGTCGCCGGAGTGGTACCAGCCGTGCGCGAACGCCTCCGCGTTGGCCTTGGGGTTCTTCAGGTACCCCTTCATCACGGCGTTGCCCCTCATCACGATCTCCCCGTAGGACTTGCCGTCGGCCGGGACGGGGACCATCGTCTTCGGATCAACCACGTCCAGGCCTTCCAGCGCGGTGTACCTGATGCCCTGCCGGCAGTGCAGACGGGAGCGCTCCTCCAGCGGCAGGTCGTCCCACTCGGGCTTCCACACGCACAAGGTCGACGGGCCATAAGTCTCAGACAGACCGTAAGTGTGGGTGACACGGAAACCTCGGATAGAGAGCGCCGCAAGAAGCGACGGTGTCGGGGCGGCTCCGGCCAGCATTACATTGACCACACGGGGGAGTGGCAGGAAGGTCTCGCTTGCAGGAGCGTTGATGAGGTTGTTCATGACGACCGGCGCAGCGCAGAAATGTGTCACTCCTTGTTTTGCAATTCCAGTGTATATAGCCTTTGTGCTCACCTGCACAAGCACAATGGGTCTTGAGAATCAAACTTGACAGGTAGCATCATAGGAATGAATGTATTGCACAGTTGTTTTTCTTGTGCCTTTTTTACTCTTGCAAGTGATATTCATGTTACTTAGTATTAGAAGGCTGAAATAAAGTTCGCATAATTGGATAACACATTTGGTACCAGAAATGCATTCTAGAACAGTCTAAAATATCAACGGGTGAGAGATGATGTACTCCATTCTTGCTACATACTCCTCCCAGCAGGTGGCTTTTTTGGGTGTGTCGGATGCAATTTTGTATCTGTGCAACTTGGCAGTTCTACCATAACTTGCATTTAATAATTGGCAACAATGAGTAAGGAGTGCATTCCAATAACATAACCTCTATTATTAGCTCAGCCAGCATTAACATAGCATTCATCAAAATTAGCTCAATTTGCAGACATTACAAAGCTAATTTAAGCAGCTGCCAATGATAGAACAGATCTTTAACGTACCTGACGAAGACATATGCTGGTTCCGCAGAAGGCAGCCAACGCCCAGGTGTAACACCAACCATTACAATGGAACATAGGCAAAGTCCACAGATAAACAGCCCCTTCAGGCATTCCCCACACCATAGCAACACTGAGCGCCATGAGGTAGGCCCCACGGTGGTGCAACACGACACCTTTTGGGCTTGAAGTAGTCCCAGAAGTGTAACCTAAGGCAATGCTCTGCCATTCATCCTTAGGTGGCTTCCAATTGAATTCTGGGTCACCGGTTTTCAGGAACTCCTCATACTCAATGGCCCCTTGTCCTAGAGCGTATTGTAGAGACTTAGGTTCGCATGTTGGATCGCCGATAACAATTAGGATTGGAGGCTGAAAATTCTGTTTCTTCTTCTCTGATACTATCTTCAGGGATTCTTCGGCTAGGGTGAAGAATTCTTGGTCCACCATCACAACTTCTGCCACGGAATGATCAAGAAGGAACGCGATCGTCTCAGCATTTAACCGGATGTTTACACAGTTCACCACAGCTCCAGACATTGGAACACCGAAGTGAGCTTCGTACACTGCCGGAACATTTGGAGCTATCACAGCAACCTAATCAAGCAAGTAGAAAAACAAATAATTACTGTCTAATCCTAAAATCTTAAAAAGCCACTGCAATATGCAGAACCATACAAAATCACAATACAGTTAAAAATAGTAGCAGGTATTGGTACAAATTATGACTTGGCAAACAAAAAATAAACCATCATTCCACATGCTTCTTTGGCGCTTGCAGGAAAGATACGTCAGTATAACCTTCATAGTCTGAACAGACTTACAAATAATATCTTGGACAGAGACGCTCAACACAAGAAAGAGATAAGCTTATCCTATTTGACCAGAAACAGTGACGGTTCCGTGTTTTCTTTGATGAGCAGAGCTACTGAACTAGTGTTTGGTAAGGAGCACCCTTTTTTGGCAACATATCAGGAGCACCTTGTGGAGGTATGAGCATATGTTTCCATTAATTTGGAAACAGTGACGGTGCTCGTCTTATACTTGTTCTTTTCATTTCGTTTCTTTTTCGAACTATGGAGGTCCCATGTTTCCATCCTACTGGAAATGACAGGTAAACTTCCTGCAGTTCTTAGTGCCCCGCAAAAGTAGAACAAAAGTTTACATTAGTAAGTGGATCGTATCTCCCATTATATAGAAAAAAGAAACACTAGCATGGCTCCGACTATAAATATGACAAGAAATCCAGTTCAGTATGGTTCTTCTTCCCGTTAAGCGCCCCACAATTTACTAACTGAATCCATTTGATCCTCAAGGTTTCAGTTTCACAGGGTGCCAAATAGGATCGAATTCCTCCAAAATATATACTAAAAATCAAACACTAAGTCTGGATGAAGGTCATACAACACAGAATCTACCCCGACTCACAATCAGCTCTCTCGTGCTTGCTTTTTTTGCCCAAGGGACAAAATATCTACCAACTCTTTAGGAATTAGGAACAGGGGATAGAAATTTACAGTGCAGCCGTGGCCGACAGATCGGCGCGCCAGTGCAGAGGCGAGGCGGCGGCACCGGCGGTAGGTCTCGGCCCAGGTGTACCGGACCGGGCCGTGCACGACGGACGCCCTGTCCGGCTGGGCCAGGGCGGCCCGCTCGAGGAACCAGAGCGGCGTCAGCGCCGTGTAGTTGGCGTCGTTCCGCGGGAGATCGTCGATGTCCCGCTCCGCCGCCCCGGATCCGAACCCATGCCCCGGCCCCTCCGACCCCATCCTCTCTTGGTCTGCTCTCCTTCTGTTAGGAAGAAGACGAAGGCGACGAATCGGGAGTGTGTCGAAAGCGTGGGACGAGAGTGTAGGTGTGAGTGACAGCACGAGCCGCCCAGTGCCATTTATAGTTCGAGAAAGTGTCCAGGTGGGTACGATCGGCGAACGGCTTGCACGCCTCGACGCCCGTCCGATCAGGGGCGGACGCTGAGGATCGAACGCGTGTGGTAGGCGAGAGACTTTAATTTGGATTTCGCCACCTTCATGGAATGGGCTAAACAGAATCACTGAACACTGAACACGCAGTGCCCACGGCCCACGGGCCGTACTTCCAAGACCCGTCACTCCGTCAGTCAGTGCGTAGGTTGATGCGAGAATTCTCAAAAAAGCAGAAACTTTTCGAGGATGCGGATGAGATGGAAGGTATGGTCACAGCGAAACTTGGGTGAATATAGTAATGTCATTGGTCTTTACTGTCAAATTTTCAGTCATGTTTAATGGGAAGAAACTTGAAGAGTTTGAGCCATCTCGAGGAATCACACAAGGGAACACAATATCTCCGTACTTGTTCTTGCTAGCAAAGTACCTCTTCCCATCTAGGGGGGAGGCCATGGAGGAGGAAGCACAAGGGGGAGAATCTCTCCTCCTCTCTCTCGGTGGCACCGGAGTGCCATCGGGAGGGGAATCATCGCCGCGGTGATCGTCTTCATCAATATCACCATCATCATCATCATCCTCATCTCTTTTACGCGGTCCACTCTCCGGCACCCCGCTGTAATCCCTACTTGAACATGGTGCTTTATGCCACATATTATGATCCAATGATGTGTTTCCATCCTATGATGTTTTGAGTAGATATCTTTTGTCTTTGGGTTGATTGATGATCTAGATTGATATGAGTTGTATGTTTTACTTTGATGCTGTCCTATGGTGCCCTCCGTGTCGCGCAAGCGTGAGGGGTTCCCGTTGTAGGGTGTTGCAATACGTTCATGATTCGTTTATAGTGGGTTGGTGAATGAATGAAACACAAACCCGAGTAAGGGGGTTATTGTGTATGGGATAAAGAGGACTTGATGCTTCAATGCTATGATTGGGTTTCACCTTAATGATCTTTAGTAGTTGCGGATGCTTGCTAGAGTTCCAATCATAAGTGCATATGATCCAAGTAAAGAAAGTATGTCAGCTTATGCCTCTCCCTCATATGAAACTGCAATAGTGATTACCGGTCTTATTAACAATTGACTAGGACAATTTCGCACACCGATCCATAATTATTTCACACTCGCTATTTATAATATTTAGTAATATATTCTAACTTCATGATAACAGCACCTATTTTTATATTTTAGCTCTCCGATATCATAAAAAGTTATCCTCTTCATACCCACAACATAGTTTTATTTCTCGTTTCTAGTTGGAAGCAAACGTTCGGTGTACGTAGAGTCGTATCAGTGGCAGATAGGGCTTGAGAGAATATTGATCTTACCTTTAGCTCCTTGTGGGTTCGACACTCCATACTTATCACTTCCACCTTTGGAAATTGCTACAATGATTCCTTGCACTTGGGGATTATCAAGCTCTTTTCTGGCGCCGTTGCCGGGGAGCAATAGCGTGGGGTTGATATTCTCGTGTGTGCTTGTTTGCTTTCTTCACTAAGTAGATTTTATTTTTCATTTTTTGTTTTTGTTTAATTATGGGTGAAACATACAAAAGAATAATTTAAAGGATGAAAATACAAAAAAAATTATTACTTGCCTCTCATTCCTAAAAAGTTTTTCAAAAGGAGAAGTGATTGGAAAGTTATGCATTGAAGAAGTGAGGGTCGACCTTGAGCACTTGTGTTCATGCTCACGGAAATAATGTAGAATTTTTCATGGAAGTTTCTCTGTAAATAATTATCCCCCTGTATATATCCATTGTATTATAAAAATAATGTGCCAAGCTTTGGTTTCAGGATGATTAAATTGCTTGTTTACTATGTGCAGAACAAAAACAGAAACTTTGGCTGTAGCGCGTGATTTTACATTTTTTACTGGAAATTTAAATGGGCCTGAAACGTTTTGCACATTACTTCTGTATAAATTTCTCAAATTTTCAAATTTATTTCATAATTATTGGAGTCACAGAAGTTTAGTAAACTTCCAGATTACTACAAACTGTCCTGTTTTAGACAGATTCTGTTTTCTATGTGTTCTTTGCTTATTTTGATGAATCTATGAGTAGTAACGGAGGGTATGAACCATGGATGAGTTGTAATACAGTATATGTTACACCAATATAAATTTAAAATGAGTTCACAACAGTATCTAAAGGTAGTGATTTGCTTTATTATACTAACGGATCTCACAAAGTTTTTGTTAAAGTTTTGTGTGGATGAAGTGTTCGAAGATCGAGGAGCTATCAATATGAGAAGAATAAAGAGAGGCAGGAGCTCAATCTTGGGGATTCTCAGGGCACCTCAAATAAATATTCTAAGGATAATCAAGCATCTAAGCTTGGGGATGCCCCGGTTGGCATCTCATCTTTCTTCTTCAGTACACCTCGGTTTTTGTTTTGTTCACATGATTTGTGTCCTTTGTGTTTTTCTTTTTATTTAATAACCATGCTAGTATGAGATGCCTCTTCATAAATTTATAGAATACTTAATGAGCTTCACTTATATATTTTACGTATGATCTTATAGAATTGCCTTTTGTGCTTCACTTAAATCTTTTGAGTATCGTTTTATATAATGCTTCGTGTGCTTCACTTATACATTTTGAGCCTGGACATTGGTTAGTTTATATTAATTGTAGAATGCTCCATGAACTTCACTTATATCTTTTTGAGTATGAATAATACTATCATCTAAAGCGGGTTTGGAAGAGTGTCAACTCTAGGAACCAGTGATCCCGGTATTCCGAATGAGAAGAATTTTGCTTATGTGAAGAGTAGAAAAATTTCTATGCTTGTAGATTATGAAAAGAATGCTTTATGTGATGGTTATGTTGTTGAATTCATTCATGGTGCTACTGAAAATTATCATGATGGAGGAATATATGCTTGTAGGAGTTGCAATAATATCAAGTTTCCTCTCTATGTGCTTAAAGGTTTGAAGTTATCCTTGTTTTTCCTTCCTATGCTAGTTGATTCTTGTTCCCATAAGTTGTGTACTCACAAAATCCCTAGGCATAGGAAGTGGGTTAGGTTTAAATTTGCTAGTCATATTCTTCATGATGCTCTCTTTATGTTTCAATTCTTATCTTTTATGTGAGCATCATTGAAATCATCATGCCTAGCTAAAACGCATTAAAAAAAGCGCTTGTTGGGAGACAACCCAATATTTACCCTTAATGTTTTTTGTGTTCTCATGATTAAGCTACTGTAGTAATAATTTTTTATAGTTTTTGTTTCAATAAAGTGCCAAGTAAGACCTTTGGGGAGACTTGGATGAAAGTTAATGTGATCTTGCTGTAAAAAACAGAAACTTTGCGCTCACGAGATTTGCTGCCATTTTTTATTGGAGAGTGAGATTAGGTTGATTCTTTTTGAAGAAGATTAATAGACAAATTCCTCACATCCACAAATTTATTTCATAATTGTTTGAGTATCAGAGGTATGGTTAGTGTTCAGATCATTACAGACTGTTCTGTTTCTGACAGATTTTGTTTTCATTGCATAGTTTGCTTGTTTTTTTAGTTTCTATGACTTATATTTCTCAATATAAATTGTATAAATGATATGGTACAGTAGGCATTGTGTGAGAAAAATTATGATCTTTGTCTTTGACAGTACCAAGGTGAATGGTTTACTCTTTATCATACTAACCTATCTCACGAAGTTCTGTTAAGTTTTGTGTGATTGAAGTTTTCAAGCTTTGGCTGAGATATCGATATGAGGAGAATAAGGAGTGGAAAGAACCTAAGCTTGGGGATGCCCAAGGCACCCCAAGGTAATATTCAAGGAAGACTCAAGCGCCTAAGCTTGGGGATGCCCCGGAAGGCATCCCCTCTTCCGTCTTCAAAACTATCGGTATACCTTACTCGGAGCTATATTTTTATTTATCACATGATATGTGTTTTGCTTGGAGCGTATTTTCAATTTTACTTGTCGTTTGAATAGAATCATTGGATCTGAAATATTAAATGAAAAAGAATCCTCCCATGGCTAGTTAATTATTTGACTACTCAGTGTCCTTCACTATTATCTTTTGGAGTAGTTTGTCATTTACTCACGTGCTTCACGTATATCCTATGAGTAAATGGTTGAATAATTAAACATAATAAATCTGAATTTATATATGTTTCATATGCTTATACCATGGGGAGTAATGACTTCACATAGAATAAGTATAGGTAGCAAACTTATTGAAAGTTAGCAAACGTAGAATTAGTCACTTGAACAATTCATGAAAGAATATTAAAGGAAGAGAGATTTCACATATAAATATACTATCTTGGACATCTTTTGTAATTGTGAGCACTCTTTAAAATATGACATGCTAAAAGGTTGATGTCGGACAAGGAAGACAACGTAATGGGTTATGTTTTCTTTTATCCGAAATAAAGTATATTGTCTTGGATCATCCAACATGTTGAGCTTGCTTTTCCCTCTCATGCTAGCCAAATTCTTTGCACCAAGTAGAGATACTACTTGTGCTTCCAAACATTCCTTAAACTAGTTTTGCCATGAGAGTCCACCATACCTACCTATGGATTGAGTAAGATCCTTCAAGTAAGTTGTCATCGGTGCATGTAATAAAAATTGCCTTCTAAATATGTATGATCTATTAGTGTGGTGAAAATAAGCTTTATACGATCGTGTGATGTGGAAGAAATAAAAGCGACGGGCTGCATAATAAAGGTCCATATCACAAGTGGCAATATAAAGTGATGTTTTTTTGCATTAATATTTTGTGCATCCAACCATAAAAGCGCATGACAACCTCTGCTTCCCTCTGTGAAGGGCCTATCTTTTACTTTTATCTTCTACCATTATGCAAGAGTCATGGTGATCTTCACCTTTCC